GAACTATGTAAATATGAGAAGGATGCTGTTTTTATTGACAAGGGGCCCTATCAGGAGCTTATGGCCAGCAAAACATCTCCCTTTGCTGGCAACACAGGCGAGAGGAGGACGGACACCTGGAGAATAGGACGGTGCTCCTGCGCAGTTAATGGGCGAGCACTCACTCTTTGGAGAGGACATTATTATTATAGCATTTGTACCAAGTTCTTAAATAAGTCAGACATGGTTCCTGACCCAGATATCTTAACCCAGGGCTCTATTAGTGTAAACAGAGCCCATTTCACAGCTGGGAGTAGAGTAGGTAATAACCCATTCTTGAAACTAGTGTGCACATTGATTAGAAAAGCAAGTTTCCCTCAGAAAATTATCCCTGGGTTGGTAATCTTTTTTTTTTTTTTTTGCAGTTTTTGGCTCGGGCTGGGTTTGAACCTGCCACCTCCGGCTTGTAGGGCCAGCGCCTTACTCCTTTGAGCCACAGGTGCCGCCCAGCTGGGTTGGCAATTTTAATTGAAAAGAGCAAATATAAAAAAAAAAAAAACTCAGCAGCCCATGTCCACTGCTGTGTGATTGCCTTCTCAGCCTCAGCTTGCTCACTGGGTTTATGAGCACTAGAACTCTATATGTTTTAAGAGCTGCTTACAAGATAAATGTGGTGTGGGCCATCTAAGGTGACACTGTTTAATTCACAGAGCGCATGAGTTGTGCTCTGGCTCTCCCTGGAGAGGATCCTCCCCATGGCTGTTTCATGCAGATGCTAGTCGGAAATGAGATTTATTAACTGGCCCTCTGCCCACTGCATCTTTGTTTGCATACTCCAGGCTTTTAAGAATGAATGTATAAGTCCAGGGGGCTGTTTCCTCATGGGTGTTTGAACATTCAACTACAGTAGCACATGTTTCTGAATACTTGAAAAAAAATTGCTTGGCCCCCGGAAATGGATCGTAAAGAAAGACAGAAGTAAGATTTAAACCTAAAAAAGCATTGACCGTACCCTCTAGCTTTGCCAATTTTACAAAACAAACTGTTGTTAAGAAAAACAAAGAGAAGCGTCTCATGTACACACACACACACACAAAAAATAGGGTTGTGAGACCGTGTCCCATTCAGTAGAAGCTATTATAATATGGGTCACTTTTACCAGGATGTGGATTTCAGATCACGTTTTCTAAAACAGCGTCTACAGACAGCAGAAGTCTGTCTTCATAGATCTCTATTATGTATATATTAGTATCATGTCAATACTGTCAAAGGAGGTTTTCTAAAATAGGGATTTTTTTTTCCTTAATATTTTTCTTAATGTTCGTAAAGGGTTACTTAATGCTTTTGTTAGGTGCCTAGCTTTGGGACTTCTTTTCTGGATTCTGTCAGAACTTCTGTTAAGGGGACGGTCCTCTGGGTGCACTTGCCCTTAGGGAGAAGGTCACCCCTACTCTACAGCTGGTTGTTGTGGTATCGGTTTACATTATATGATCTTACAGAGCAATAGTGTGAGAGTGTCCTCTGGAATTTAGAAGGCTTATTTCCATAGGCAGCATCTTTTCTATCTTTATAGGGACCTCTTAAAGCTGCAGTGACTAAGCCCCTAGAGTAATGGAGGGGGAAATATTGGAACTAATCTAAATATTTCATTTGATAATTAATTCAACAAGAATTTAAGGCTACTCTGGCCAAAGTCTGTGCTGGATGAGTCCTAACTTACTAAAGTCAAACATGTAAAGTCATTTTCTAACAGATTTACATTGCTGTCAATATTTTGCATAGTCTGATAGCAAAAGTAGTTTGCATTTCCTGAGCCCACTCAAGGAGGGAAATCAAAAATTTTGGCGCAAAGAATGTAGGCTTTCAGGCAGAATTCTCACTGGCCCAGCCAGGGCAAGTTGGACAGTACTAGAAATAAAGCAGGGGCACTGAAAGGCAGGCGGGGTATTAGGAACTTGAAAATAGGAAGCCACTGAAAGCTTACAAACTGAAAACAGTGTAGTGAAAGCAGAGACTCAGAGTAGGGTGAATCTTCTGCTTTGAAAGGAGAGTCAACAGGAAGATAGGGTCTACCAGTGCCTCTGGAGTCCAGAATACTAGAGAATTCTTGATTTGCCATGAGAAAGCATGAGACCCCTCTTGTATAAGAATCAAGGTAGGTAGATGTTCTCTGGCTCAGTGGATCTTTCCCTGAGCAGAAGTAATGTGTACAGCTTGGCTCATTCATAATGGGACTGGTGCTTAGCTCAGATGCAAAGCTGCCTCTTTAAGGGGTGGCTAGGGTGGAGACCCTTACTTACCCAAGACTGATCCTCCCAAACTCAGAAGCAGTGTACCTGGTACTTCATTGTGAAGGATACTCCCTTGGTATTTAATGCCATAAAATGTACAGATGTGGCTGATGAAACAGCT